AAAAAATTGTCCTCAAATCTTTTAAAGTCAAACAAAAGGAAAAAAAACTATTTGTCAACATTCCATATCACCAAATACTTTATAAAAAATTTTATTAATTGTTTGGAAAAGTATTTTAGATTAGTTACTCATTTTCGATTTGTATGGGATGGAAGATGATATCCCGCTCAAAGGCACATAGCCAAAAAGAACCGGATATGGGCGGAATGAGGCGGTGGGAAAGATGGTCAAATTGGCTTTGCGTCAGGGGATTGCGCGTCTACCGTCGAATAAATTGACACGTGGGTCAAGGGAGATCCGCTGATAAATGGTTTGTATCCATAGCACTGGCAGCAACAATCATCACCAGGTGGAGTGGGCAGTGGAATCGTTCATCCCTTTTGTCGATCATGCATGAAGTAAATCCGATCAGTTTCACTCTGCTATCAACCCATGCGGAATTTCCTTGATCATTTGGGCATTTATTAACTAATACATCCGAATGGTTACAATCTTAAAATGTAATTTATGATTTTTTTCTAGTATGATTAAACGGAATTATCAGTTGCATTGAAAAGGTAAATCAATATTTGTTAAAATCGGTTTAGAAATAAAATAAGTAGACCTTGATGAGTTATTTTTTGTTGATCTGAAAATTTTTATTGTATTGACAACAATAGTTGATATCAATTAATTTTTATGTTAATACGATGTACAAGCTTTTATCACCTCGTCTGTGGAGAATTTCACGAAAATTGTTTATAGGTTTTATTCACATTGTCTATCTAACATTTAAATAATTAACACTGTAATGTAGAAGTGTAGCTTTCGTTTGCTGAAAGCAAGGAAAATTACTTTTAAGTGACTCCAGTTTATCACGTTCAATCAGGTTAATGGGCTGAGTTCGGAGGGAAAGAGCCGGTCTAAAAGCTTTCTTCATGGTTTTAATAAATTAAGAGCCACCTTAATGCCCTATGTTTTCATATTATTATTTAAAATTCCCGAGCTTACATTTAATTGAGTAAAAACCCGAATATTCCTTCTACTTCTTAGAGAAAAGAAAAGCGGCAAAATAAGGATAAGCCGAATTGTCTGCACTTTTTATAAAGGAAAAACCAGGTTTTAATAACGTAATCGGTACGAAATATGACGAATATTTTTAAAAATTGAGAATTTCATGATTTGGAACATTTCAAGAAAAATTACCCACTCAGTTTCATTATCTATTAAAAAAAGACATAATGACAAACAGAGCTGAACCTAGAAACTCGTACAATTATTTAAGGTTTTTGGTTAAGATAAAAACGTCAATGTCACGAGCATGATTCGAACCCATGACCTTCGGCAAGATACGCCGCTACTCTACCACTTGAGCTATCGTGACTTCGATCGACTCGGATACTTACTCCCCATCTCAACCCAACTTTTTTAAAATTTTACGTCCGTGTTGCTATATTTCTAATGTCGTGTAATCTATTTGATTATCTGTGATCTATTTTTATCTCGACCAAAACCTTAATTAATTAAAAAGAATTTATTTGGTCAAGCGGACCACGATACCTAATCAAATGTAATAAGCAAAATGTCAGTGGGCCGGGTCGTCCGAGAGGCTTTTGCGCGTCAGGAGTACGATTCGTAGATGGCCCCCAGAGAGTCTGAGCCGGAGACAAGGAATCGTCCTAACGCGATTAAGAATAGGCCATAAACGGTTGACACACGGCCACCTGCTCTTGGGCCAAAGCCCGCGCAGGTGTCCCTTATGCAGAGAAAGGTTGCTCGATGTGTCCCACATACTGGAAACATGCCATGCCTTGGCTCCCTACAAGGAGCGCGTAGGCATGCCATCCAATCTGAAGAAGGTACTCGAGCACTGCAGCGAGTTTCAGGGTCGCCTGTTCCGATTTTTACGGGAAATTGGTTTTTTTTATTGTATATAGTATGTCTCATGTGTTGTGTGTCTATATGTTTGTCTGAGTGCATGTATTTATTAGCGTGAATGGCGAGGGGTGAGGGTGAAATATAACATCATCATCGCCCCTCGAACGTTGAGAGCGTATGAGTATGTGTTCGGGGTCGATGGCGGAATATTTATAAAAGTACTCCATCGACCCCAATCTAGTTTAGTTCGAGTATAGGTCGGTGGAGGAATATCAAGTACTCTACCGACCAAACGGAATGAATGTATTGTATGGATGTATTTATGTGTATGAATGTATTTATCTGTATGAATGTAGTGTTTGTAAATAGAAGTGTAATTAGAATATTGACTTGACTTAGCTTGGGGCTGAAATGACCCAGGTGTCGGAAGCCCCAGTAAAAAAAAATAAAAAAAATAAAAACAAGCAAAATGAAGTATACTTCACTAAAGCTCTCCGTGGACATTTCGTTTATCGCCGAGAATCAAATAGATAACACGACATTTGAAAAATGGCAAAAAGGAGGAAAAATTCAAAAGGTGGGGTTGAGATGGGAAGTTAGTGTCTGAATGGATCGAATTCACGATAGCTCAAGTGGTAGAATAGCGGCGTATCTAGTCGAAAGTTGTGGGTTCGAATCCTGCTCGTGACACTGACTTTCTTATCTCAACCGAAAACCTTAATTTATTGAAAGATATTAATTAGTCAAGCGGACCACGAAAAGTAGGGAATTAATAAGAAAAGCTCATTTTTTTGCCCATCTTTTAAGAATGTACTTTGTCTTTGGTAGAGAGTTGGCCTAATATGATTTATTAGCCTTTGATGATTGTATGGTTAAAGCTTAGCTACTCGTTACTTATTTATTTCGTACTACTAATTTCACATTTCACATTAAACAAATGGTAAAATAAGGTTTGCAATAAAAGTATTATAGGCATAGTGATTTATGTTTTAATGCCATAGCAAATGTATTTTGTAAATTTTGACCGTGAAAAATAGTGAATCTACAACTCTTATTTGAAATATTTGTTTCCTTTACAAAAAAAAACTTCTTGTTAGAAAACCCTTATATATACACAATCTAACACGTGTACGTCCATAAAATTTCCCATTCTTTAAGAATTCCACACAAGATATGTTGTAATATTTTGGCGTCCAGTTACTGGAATAAACTGAATTTAGAGCATATTGTTTTTATCAAATTTACAAAATTTTTGTAAGCCTTTTAAACTGTGGGCTGACACAGGAAAGGCGTGGATGATGGCATGAATTATGGCGGTAAAAAAAGTTATTTAATCCTAATTTTGTTACTTGGTTATATAATTGTTTCTGCATTGTTTGGCGTAAAATATTTACAATTTTGAGTTTTTTCCGGTTTCAGTTCAATATGTTTAATTGCTTATTTTTTAATTTCACAACAATTTTAGTATCAGTTTTAACTTTTAGCCCAGTTCACAACGGGGAGTTAAAACAAACCGCTCAAAAACAAAATTTGCATTTACCAAAAAAGGAAAAAAATACAAAAATGATAAAAATTAGAGGAAATTCAAAAGGTATGGTTGAAATGGGGAGTTAGTGTCCGAGTGGAACGAAGTGATGATAGCTCAAGTAGTAGAGCAGCGGCGTATTTAGCCGAAGGTTCTGGGTTCGAATCCCGCTCGTGACACTGAATTTTTATTTCAACTAAAAACGTTAATAAATTGATAGATATTAAATAGTCAAGCTAGACCACGCAAATTAGGGAATTAAATCAAACAATTGAACCGTGTGTGAAACGTTGAAATATATAAAAGAGGATAATAATTTAATGCGGAATTTCACTGACAATTACAGAGCAGTTACTGGTTTTTGCGGCTTCTGGTAAACTTTTTCCAAGTTGGCTCAGTTGGAAGAAAGCGTCAAAGAGCTTTATAAAGAGAAAGTCCTTAATTGATTGTCCTTTGTGTGAGATGTAATAATTGTCGTCCATGGCCTGTCTTCCAGTTGAAATGTGACGCACGTCTTTTATATCATAAGACTTTTCCACCCCAGGCAACCCTTAAGCAATTATTCTTTCAAATATCCACCGGACCCAGCTTTTCAACCCGACTGAATTTCAGAGTTGGGAATTTTAACGACGGGAATGTATCTGGGCCAAGGAATGCCCTGTGAGTTGGCAGGAATGAAAAGAATGAAAAACGTTTTGCAGATATGAATTATTTTGTTTTTATTTCATTTTTTCCTTGGGCAGCTTAGGCTCAAGCGTTTACTAATTTGCAGCCGGGTAAAATAGTTGGATGAAGAACATTTATATGTCAAAATCTGGAAAGAAACATATTTTTAAAAAGAAATCCATACCAAAAATTATAAAATTTCAGACCTTCGTTATATGATTTTAAAAAATGCAATGATTTCTATTTCTTAAAACCTCACTTAAATTTAAAAAATTCGTTTGAATTAACTATAATGTAATAACATTAAAATTGAAGACATAAATTTTGACAGTGTTATGAGTAGCAATATTACAGAATAAGCGAGGTTTTTGTAGTAAAAGTATCTAGCTACTCATCACAAGTATTGCGGAGGAACGCTATATTTAAAAATATAATACTTTTTTAATTAAAAAAACACTCAACCTCCTCCCATTTCAATCCCCTTTCAAGATTTAAATTTTATTTTTATCTTTTCTTAGTTTTCATGATTTGTGTATAAACAATCTCGTAGATAAAATCTTTAATTAGGTAGGTTTTCCTATAGATACAGGTTTGTACAACAGTCTGGTTTCTAACAGAATTTTCCTTCGGAAATCCTTTCACCCGTTCCGGGCGTATTTAATTAGGAAAGCTCCCTAAACCGCAAGCCCACCTGCCTCGTCCCGTGCCTTACCGCAACCAACGTCCAATTTAATTACTTCTAATTAATAATTAAAATAATCTGATCCTTTCTAAGAATCAATCAGCTGGATTATGTGCCTTTCATATAAATCCGAGGATTCATACAGATTCCAGAAATTGAATTTTTTTTTCGTATTCGTCCTAATATTAAATTATTATAACGAATTCCAGTTAAAGCCTATACGCATTATCAGGATATATCAAAATTTACGTTTCTAAATAATGGTTAATTTTTCAGGTGTGACGGAACCTGCCGAGATCGTAGATGTCGGAGATGCAAGAGGAGGACTTCGCACCCTCGGCGGCAATCCCAGGGGATTCAGAGACTCCAAGCCGCCGAGTCCAGTTCATAGACCCTTTTTCGACGACATCTCACCCAGGAATGTCACAGCAGTCGTCGGTCAGTCGGCGATATTGCACTGCAGGGTCAAATACGTGGGAGACCGGACGGTTAGTACTATTTTCCTGGACTAAATGGAAGAGTTGTCTATGCATGAATTAATTATTTCATTATAAGCAGAATACCGGTTTTCCATAAGAAGTAATGAGCCATACCTTAAATAGTAATACCCACAGAAATTCAAGTTCAAATTAATTAGCTAGTGACGTGGGATCATAAATTTCAATGAAACTTTTTTTGGTGATACTAAATCGAAAAATATTGAAAGTGTTTCCTAAGTCGCTCGGACACAAAATGGTTACGTATTATAATTAATTAAGGTTTTTAGTCGAGATAAAAAAGTCGGTGCCACAAGCGGGATTCGAACCCACGATCTTCTGCAAGATACGCCGTTGCTCTACCACTTGAGCCATCGTGACCTCGATCCTCTTGGACACTAACTTCGATCTCAACCCCACCTTTTGAATTTTCCCTACTTTTTGCCATTTTTCGCCGAGAATCAAATAAATTCCACGACATTTGTCAAATGGCAAAAAGGAGGGGAAATTCAAAAGATGGGGTTGAGATGGGAAGTTAGTGCCTTAGTGGATCGAGGTCGGGTAAACCATTGGCGTAATATCGAAACTCCAGTGACTAACTAAAAGTGTGAATGAATTTATATATGTTAATTGTTAGGGGAAACATTCTTTATATTGTTTTTATCCTATGATACAATGATTAATTAGCATCATCATAATTTTTAAGCTGTTGGCATCTATTTTACCTACCTATTTTACATGGTTTGAAGAGAAAACAGTTTAGTGTCCTCCTCAAAGACAATTTTAACATACTTCTCATAGTGCTAAACTTCAATTAGTGGCCTTAATGTTCCGTCTAATTCAATGGGTAAGTTAAGTCAATTAAGTTAACTTCCTTTGCTGAAGAATCCCTTCACCCATTTCTATTGTCCATCCTTGAATATTTCAAAAAACCTCCAGTCTTTCTTTTATTATTCGGCATAGTTGATGACGATTTGAACCATTATTATCGTTAAATCATTAATCATTAGTTTTTTCAAAGCTATCTGCTGTCTGTACAGTTTTTTAAGTTTAAGTTGGCTTGTTGTGAGGCATTTTCTAAACCAAGCTTTCGGGGTGACTTTTTTGCTTATCTTACATATAACGCCAATCCTATCAAACATTCAGACGACTTCCGTTTGTATCAATTTCATAATAAGCTTCTACAATTTCCTTGATGGATGCAACCTACAATGCTGAGTTTTTGGTTAATCTCTAGTCTGGATTAAATCCTGAAAGTGTGCTGTTTTTGTTAATGAAAAACAAAAACCTATGTTATTTCATTTAACATCTTGACTAGATCCTGCTTGAAATGAATAGTTTTGATTTTTTTAAATTTCTTAATGTGTTAGATCTGTGTATTTTTACGATTTAGTAAATTATTTTAAGACATTGTAGTAGAATAATGATCGGCAGTTTTCACTTGCTCATGCATCTACGTTGTAAGATATCTAGAAGCCAATTCCGTGGCAATTCCTTTTTTGGCAACCTCTTCCTCCTTCGATGTTAAATTACACATTGATAATAAAATAAGATAAACTAGTTCAAATTTGGTGCTCTTTAATTTTAAAAGTAAATTCATTAGTTCTCGTGGATCGCTTGACCAATTAATATCTTTCAATTAATTAAAGTTTTTAGTAGAGAAAAAAAGTCAGTGTCACGAGCGGGATTCGAACCCACGATCTTCGGCTAGATACGCCGCTGCTCTATCACTTGAGCTATCTTGACCTCGATCCACTCGGACACTAACTTCCCATCTCAACCCCACCTTTTGAATTTTCCCTCCTTTTTGCCATTTTTCCTTCCGCTCGTGACACTGACTTTTTTATCTCAATTAAAAACCCTAATTAATTGAAATACATTAATTGGAAAAATAGTGAATTTAATAAGTTAACATGAAGTATACTGTCACTAATGCTCTCCGTGGCCATTTCATTTGTCGCCGAAGATCAAATAGATTACACGACATTTGAAAAATGGCAAAAAGTAGAAAAAATTCAAAAGGTGGGGTTGAGATGGGAAGTTAGTGTCCGAGTGGATCGAAGTCACGATAGCTCAAGTGGTAGAGCAGCGTCGTATCTAGCCGAAGATCGTGGGTTCCAATCCCGCTCGTGACAGTGGCTTTTTTATCTCAACTAAAAACCTCATTTAATTTAAATGTAAATATCATTTTAAAGGCTAAACCTTATATGAATGTATTTACTGGCGCGAATGTTACGATTATATTATCTAGAGCTTTATCATTACAAGGCTAAAGGACAACTCTATCTATTGATACTGCTGGTATAAACGCATCGGCTGTCAAGCTGGTGACAACCAACCCGGATTAACTTACATTCGAAATCTCAGCTTGAAAAGGCTGGAGATCGTCGGATTCAGACAGTTGGACGGAGGAAAGAAAAAAAAAAGTATCAAATTAATTCCAAAAAGGAAAGCGCAAACTCGATTTTCTCCCATCGATCAAGTTCTTTTCCCTATTTGGCCAATTTTTATTTTGAAAAACATATTTCTGTCAGGGTGGAAAGCGCTTTATATCGATGGAAAATTTATATGACTTTAACCTTTAACAATCTAAGATAGCCCTCAGCCACGATTTATAGAAATTAACCCAAGAACTTTTTATTTTTGAAATTTTAAAATTCCATAATTACGAAGAAACTAGTAAGAAAGATTCTCTTACTTTGTACAAAATATATCAGTAACCTACTTGTCTTATCAACTTAAAATAAAGATGCCAGTTTATTGAATGATAACAGTTGTTGTATCTAGATGAGTGGTGGAATGGTCGATTTGACAACCGTTTATCAATTTTGTACTTTGAAAATTTAACTCTATTATTAAACTTGACTTGTACATTGCTCGAAGAAATTGTATTTTCAATGCAAAGACGTAATCCAAAATAAAATCGGTTTTAATTAAATTTGTTACATTGCCCTTAAAATATTTGTAGATTTAAACAACGTCTAAAAGTGATTGAATTAATGCCTGTAACATCTTTTCTTAATTAACTTTGTTAGTCAGAGATATTTCTTCAAAGGTTGAAAAGACCCTGCCAACCTTGCCTCTAATGAATGTTGAAGTTCTGTACCCTTGCACCTTTTGTACCGACGAACGAACGAAGAGAAACAAAGAATTCTTTGGACCTGTAATTAATGGTCCGGTCGTGCCTGTTGACTATCAAGATATTAGGTCGGATAATGGCGTAATTACTTTGGATCCGCCGTTTCTAATCACGAGGAAGGAAGGTTTCCCAGGCCCTCTTCCTCTTTTCCCCCCTTATCAAAGGGAAAATGAAATAAAGCTTCTACAATTTTTCTTCAAATCTTGTTTTGTCTTTTTACAACATGGGAAATTATTCTAAGTCGTTTAGTTTGATAATGATCAGCAGTTTTCAATTGCTTATGTAGCAACGTCATGAAATGACATTGTTTGCAATATAAACATAAATACGTCCTAACGACGAATAAACCTTCATTGCATTTTAATGATAATGAAACAGAGCGTAAATTAAACACATTTTTCTGTTGGAGATGACAACATTTATTAGAGAGTTTGTAAAGTGGGAGAAAATATTGTCTGAAATACAACCAGAAAAAAATCTGTCTATGTGCCAAAGACTGTCTTCCCGTTGACAGGTTTGCAGTAACATTTTTTCTTTGTTTAATCGTAAGTTAAATAAAATTAATTTGTTTAAAAATATAATACTCGCAAATAACGATTTTATTAAAATGTCGTATAATATTTAAAAAATTTCGTAACTATTCTTCTATGAATATTTTTTGGACTTAATAAAAAGAAGTGTTATCTAGCGAAAGCAATTTCTTTTCAAAGCTTCTACAATTTTTCTTAAAATCTTGTTTTGTCTTTCTACAACTTGGGAAATTATTCTAAGTCGTTCAGTTTGATAACGATCAGCAGTTTTCAATTGCTTATGAAGCAACGTCATAAAATGACATTTTGCAATATAAACATAAATACGTCCTACCGACGAATAAACCTTCATTGCATTTTAATGATAATTAAACAGAGCGTAAATTAAACACATTTTTCTGTTGGAGATGACAACATTTATTTGAGAGTTGTAAAGAGGGAGAAAATATTGTCTGAAATACAACCAGAAAAAAAATCTGTCTATGTGACGTGGAATGCCAAACGTCTTCCCGTTGACAGGTTGGCAGTAACATTTTTTCTTTGTTGTAATCGTAAGTTAAAGAAAATTAATTTTTTTAAAAATATAATACTTTCAAATAACGATTTTATTAAAATGTTGTATATTATTTTTAAAAAAACTTCGTAAGTATTCTTCTATGAATATTTTTTGGACTTCATTTAAAAAAAGTGTTATCTAGCGACAGCAATTTTCTCAGCGGAACAATATCGATTTAAACTCTGCTTAGTGAGAACTTTTCAGCTTTTCTTTTCTTCCTGGCAACCGGAACAACAAAGCGGAAGGAATAATTTCTCGCCCCTGCAGCTGAATCGGGTTTTGCCAGTTTCGGACAAAAGTTTCCCGGTGTGGTTTAGGGCTTAACTTTGACCGGGCCGAACTTGGTTTAATCATTTCCGACAAGGAAATTATTTAAAGCAAGGACGAGCTCGGTTTGGGTCAAATTATTTACAGTAAATTAAAAAAAATATATATAAAGGTCTGCCTCATCCTAAAACCATTTAACTAAACACACCAATACGATTTACCTATAATGAAAAGTAGTATTCAAAAATCCGATTCTCTCTCAATAAAAATCGCATTTTTCATCAGCTCGGATCAATATGATATTTGCATATAGCGTGAGATTATTATAAAAAATCCATAATTTGCTTTAGTCCGTTAATATGATAATTTAGTTTTATTCTGATATAAAATATGATTTATAAATTCACTAGTTTTCGTTAGAATGATGATCGGCAGTTTTCACTTGCTCATGCACCTACGTCATAAGATATCAAGAAGCCAAGTCCGTGGCAATTCCTTTATGGGCATCCTTTTCTTGCTT